TATACAAACACAAAGAAACAGACTTGTGAATTTGGGGGAAAAACCAGGAGATAACGTTCCTTCCTCTGAGAAGATTATAACTTCATCACAGCAAAGATTCCCAATCCCATATAAGGATCTCTAAAGTAGGGTGTTCTCAATTACATCCATTCACATTTTGTTTCACTTTGCACAAATAATTAAATGGTGAACTAGGGAATAAAATCTGATTATCCCTACTCCCAGCTGGGAGTCCAAACTTTCAGGCTAGAGAAAGCTTCTTCTCTTTTCATGCACATAAATATTTATGTATGTAAAATGGCATACTGAAAAAATTGAAAGGTCCAATCTTATGTCAGGGATTTAGGATACTTCCCAGGGAGGAAGAGGAAACTAGAAAAAGTTACCTCCCCCTTCTTTAACACAACTCATATTTATTGGATGGTAATAGAATTTGACCAATTGGTTAAAGCCTTTTGTGGAGATTGTGCACTAATGCCTTCCCTGGGATATTCAATTTTTGCTGATTGTTATAAACCATTTAGTCAATTATAAGGGTTCACATAATAAAAACCACTTAAAATACTTTGCTGAATGAGAGATTAGTCTGTGTATGCTGTGATCCTGTCAATATAATTCTTCATGTGATCTCTTGCTCCCTTTTGGGTCTGAACAGAGATGTATTTGACTTTGCTAAAGGGTCTTGATGTTCATAAACCAAATTCATTGAAGCTTTTCTTTCTAGCTGCCTTTTTAGATACAATCAATGCCTAATTTTAGTAAATGAAGACTTGCATTTTCACTGAGCATTCATTTATCCTTTCATTTATTGACAAATTCGTTTTATTTTACGTTATTTAATACACTTATTTAGCATTACTGGTATTAGTGTAAAATAAACAGACTGAAGCCACCTTTCTGCAAGCATGTTTCATGTTCCCTAATGAAGTTTAAGTTTATCACTTTCATGGGTGATATTAATACTTGGCAAAATATATTTTGTTCCCCAGATGAAAGATGCATCCATAAAGGTAAGAGAATTTTCTTATATGAGTTCATTAGAATGAAAATGGACAATATCTAGACTGTGAAATAAATTATGGTCTTTCCTTAATTTAAAAAAAAATGTTGTCTCAAAAAAGATGACTTGAAACAAACTTTTTCTTATGTATTCTATTTGGTGCATGAAGTCTATTGCTGGAAGAATTTCATAAAATATTTTCCACTCCCATTTGCAACCTATGTGTCAGAAGAGAAGAAGTGCTTTCTGTCCTCTCACAGAAGCTCTGTTCAGGCAGCTTGAAAGGGTTTCCAATGCTCACTGAACCTCTTTTGAAATGGAAGATTTTATTTAGTAATAGAACTTTGGGCTTTTTTTTCTCTGAAGATGTATAACACTTAAAACACACCTAACAAAATAATAAGCTGGTTACAGAAATAGATAGAACCTACTTCTGAGTTGTGTCTTTAAGAGATATTTATCTCATCTTATACTGGAGAGTCAGATGTTTATGATTGTTTAAGAAATAAACATTTTTTATAACCTACAAGTGATATGAAGAAAAGATGGAGGCCACAGCATGCTTTAAATAATTCAAAATCATATCTGTAAAAACAAAACAAAAGGGCATGTAAAAACAAAGCAAAAAGGGCAAGCTTGAGAGATTATCTTGCCCAACACGATATATCTGTTTCAGGATAACACAGTCACTTAAGAGGCACTTATGGTAAATAGAAGCATTTTACTTAAATATGTCATCTACTGATTTTTCTTATGATTCTACCTCTAAGAAAAGATAATTGTGAATTTTTTATAGATGTTTAAAAAATGTTTTTAAGAAATAAGAAAATAACTCTTGTATCATGCTTGTGTGTCATACTTCTTTGTAAATAAGTGTGTCTGCACAATAAATAACATAATGCAGTTTAGGTGGGGATTTGGAATTTGTTTTGTTTTGTTTTGTTTTTTTTTAATTGGGATCTTCAAATATGTTTTTTCATATGAAAGAAATATCAAATTTATAATAATTATTTAATTAATTCCACAAAATTCAAGCTTGCAGAGCATTGCAGTACAGAAGAGATTAAGTCACTCCAAAGAATAGGCAAATAGCCTGCTCATGGAGTGTATCATTTACACTTTAAAAAATTATAGAATTTAGCCCCAAAATTTGTTTGTTGTTCAGAGGTGTTTTTATGTTTTATCAGTGTCAAGCAGTGGTTAACCAAGAGCAATTTTCCAGGTGATTTCTGGGGTCTGTAAAAGAGACCATAATCCCCCCTCAGCTTTGTATTTTCAAAACCCCAGAGTAATCTGTTCCTTCCAAATAAGTATTCCTTTCAAATGACTGATGAATGGAGGCATCCATCAGCTTGCAAGTAATTGACAACTGAACATTTTAACAGAAGCAATGCATAAAGTGGTATTGTAGACGAGCTGAACAATTCAGTAGTTTGTGCTGCTAGTGATAATTAGATGTTACAGCTCAGTGGTGTGGTGAATTGTTCAGCTCCAAAAGGTATTTCACCAATACAATAATTCCAGATGCATATCTGTCATGTGTCCAAATCATTGTCTGCACTTGTCCCTCTAAAAAGAAGCAATGGCAGAAATAAGCCAGTGAAGAACCAATATAATCAACCAAGAGCTAAGGAATCATCTGCATTTCAGGTGAATTGCCACAGTAATAAATTTTTCTAAATCCTATAATTTTTCTAAATCCTGCTTGCAGTGCTCTTCTCATAAGTGGGAGAAGAGTGGTTGTGACTACTCTTTCAGTAGAAAAACACCATTATTTTTCTTAAAGTGCAGTATTCATTGAACTATAATCTGACTGTATCTCTACATCTGTTAGAGGAAATTTTTTATGTAGTGTGTGAAGGAGGAATAATTTTGAGTATGAGCTACCAACCATATCAGTTAAAAAACTAAGAGTAGAAATATATTATTACTCTTAGAGCTAACTGCACTGCCTCTACCTGACTGAGAACAAATATTCAGATGATTTTCCATCAAGTATGCAAGCTAATCCATGGTCTTATTCTCTATTTTTGACAGAAAGAATTTATGAGTGTAGCAGCAATAATAGAAATATTGATTACTTACAGAAGATTTCTGTGTTTCTGCTGTGAAAGATATCATGCAGATTTAAAGAAATCATTGAAACACATCTCATTACTATAATCTATGTGATTTCAGAGGGCATTAAGTAGCAAAAGCATTTATGTCCCTTTAAAGATGTGCAGACTCTATCAAATCTCAGTGGCTTCCACAGGAAGAAAGAGCAGGTTCATATTATAAAGCAGTAATATCAATTTCTTGGGCCCTGGAGTGGTAACAGATTTTGTTTTGGATTGAAAAAAAGATTTTGCAAGAAGCTGATCCATTTTCGGAGTTGTTTCATGATTTATTATTTATTGTGCCACATAGAAATTATGAGGTACCTTATCCCTCCTTATTGGGTGTGATTCAATAGTCCATTGAAAAAAATAACACTTTTCTATAGGTGATTTTAATGCCTTTCAGAGAGGTTCTTGGACTCATGGTTACAGAATAATAGAATGGTTTGGGTTGGAAGGAATCTTCAGGTTCCAATCCTCCCTGGCACAGACAGTGACATCTTTCATGAGAGCAAGTGGCACAAGCGTTCATCCAATCTGGCTTTGAACACTTACATTTTCTTGGAGCAAACTGCTCCAGTGTCTCACCACACTTACTGTAAATAAAATTCTTCTTTTATCTGATCTAAATCAACTCTTTTTCATTTAAAAACCATTATCCCTAATCCTGTTATTTATTACAGGTACTGATAAAAAGCCACTCCCCATCATTCTTGTAAGCTCCCTTTTTATATTGAAAGACCACATATCTCTTACATATTCAAAGTTTGAACAACTTTAACACTCTCATCATTTATTCATAGGAGAGTTTTTCCTGTCCTTTGACCATTTTCGAGGCCCTCACCTGGACCCTCTTGGACCCATTCATCTGGTTTTTAGCGCTGAGAGCCCCAGAGCTGGATGCAGTAGTCTAGGTGAGGTTTTCCCAGTGCAGAGTAAAGGAGGAAAATCATCTTCCTCAATCTACTGGCCACACTTTTTTTACTTCAACTCAAGATGCCATTGGCTTTCTGGGCTGCAAATGTACTTTTTTTTCTCCATCAATATCTCCAAGTCCTTCTCCATAGGGATGCTCACAACCCATTCATCCCCCAGGCTGTCCTGATACTGGGGATTGTCCCAACCCACATGCAGAACTTTTCACTTGACCTTGTTCAACTATCAAGCTATTCACATGCACTTCTCAAGTCTGTCAAGGTCCCTCTGCATGTCAGCCCTCTAGTACATCAACTGCACTTCATTCTGGTGTAAGCCATAACTTGCTGAGAATGCAAATAATCTCACTGTTTATATCATCAATAAACAGCACTGGCCCAAGTACAGACCCCTGAAGGACCCTGTACATCACTGATCTCCATCTGCACATTGAGACAGCAACAATTTGGATAGGGCCATTCCATCAATTCCTTATCCATCTAACAATTCATCCATCAAACCCATATCTCTTCAACATAAAAACAAAATGGGGGTGGCATCACTTCAAGTCCAGGGAGAGGACATCAGAAGCTCTTTCCTTATTCAGCAGCTCCATCATTCTGCATAGAAAGCCACCAGCTTACTCAGACTCAGATATGATTTGCCTTGGTGAACCCATGTTAGCTATTTCTATCACATCTCTGGTTTTTATGTGCTTTGCTCGGCTTCCAGATGGGTCTATTCCATGATGTTATGAGGCATGGAGGTGAGGCTGACTAATCAGTAGTTTCCAAAGGCCCTTTTTATACCCTTTATATTAACGGGCATTGTCTTCTCTTTTCCAGGCACTGGGAATTCATCTGATTGCCATGACTTTTCAAATACAATGGAATGTTCCTCTTCAGTAAAATTTTCTAAATTTCTGATGCTCGTTCATGGTGTCATTATTGGAAATCTAAAGGTAATTATTTACTGACTCTTCACAGAGAGAGAACCTACAAGTGTAACTGGAATATGCACTACTCCTCCAGCTACTTGTCCAAGCTTACTACTGCACAGTAGGTAGCTGTGCAAATGTTCTACACTGTGTCCCTGTTCTTCATCTCTCTACAAGGCAGTTGCATACTTGAAGGAATAGGTGAGTTGGAAAGCAATTTTTATCAATTTTTGTTGAAATATGGGTAGACAAAGCCAACAGGATTAAAAAGAACAACTTAATCTTGAAATTAAGATTTCCATGATTCAGAAAAATATTTACTCTGTATTTTGTTGATTAAGGTTAAAAGAACAGTCCTCTGAATATTTTTTTCCTTTTTCATCTCATTTGGATGAACCACTAGAAAGAGATGAGGTAAAGAACAGATTTGTTGCAACAGTTTTATCTTCTGTGCAGCATCATTGGAGGCTTAAAAAAATTTAAAAGTTCAGAAAAGTTTCAGTTTCTTAGAATTCAAAATATGTTGTGAATGCTGCTTTTCCATTTTTTAGCATATTCTTGTCTTTAATAGGCCCCTTTGGAATAGCTTAGATCTCCAGGTCAAAAGTTTCATGGCTATGTATGATTTTAGGTTAATTTTTTCTGGAATGTCAGTTCAAGATTCAATTAAACTCTTGAGGAATGACTAAGTATTTCAGTTCACCTAGCTGGGCTTGCTTTTATGCCATGTTTTATGCTACAAATAAATTCAGGTGGTATTTGTGAGCCATATGAAATTTTTAACAGGAAAGTTACTTGGAAATCTTCTTCCAAGAAAAATATTTCCACTTAGCACAAAAGCATTTCTGAGTTTAGCAAGACATATCTCACATTAAATGGCAATAGAACAATAAAGCTCAAAAAACATTTTCCTTCCTTTACTGTTGTACTTTTGTACTTATTTGTTTGGCTATGTTTATTAGGGCTCAAGATTCAGTACTGGCACTTATTCATGTTTGTGTAGCTACTAGCTGAGCAAGGGATCAGTAACAAGGTCATACCACATGACTTGTAAAGTTTTTAAATAATGTTAATAATAGATAGGAAATGTGTTGGTGCTAATCTTGTATGCCTTTTTTTTTTTCCAAAGAAAACAAAGACATTAGTCTTCTGTCTTTGCAAACATATATACTTGCAAAGGATATCTGCAAAGTTAGTAAGTACTTAGTAGCAAAGTCTCCAAGGCTCTGAAGCTAAATTTATGCTTTCAGTCTGAATATTTCTCTTGGATTAATTTCTTCATTTCTCATGTGAGTCACATGGCACTGAAATAGTCCAAAGCATTTTAGACAAAATGTTCAAAAGTGGAACTAAGGGCTGTGTGCTTGTTTAACTAATAAATGATTCCAGCAATAAGAATCTAAATGTCAAAGGCTTTACCACAAACTAAAGAGCAGGGCTACCTCTCAATAATAACAGCCTAGTAATGAGTAAAGATCTGATGTACTGTGAAAAAGCAAAACTATTTCAGGCTAACTTTTTTCAATAACTGTGTTCCCTTTTTGGTTATATAGAGTAAGATTCTAATTCAGGAAATCTGATCCATGTAGCTTACATCACTCAAAACCCATATTAGCACGCAGTCACTTTACTCAAGTGATTGATCTCTAACATTCCGCCACTTGGCCAGTTTCTACGGAACATATTACTGGGAAAACATCTGTGCTAGTTCTTTTTGTCTACATCAGCATATGTTGGGCAATGAAGCACAAAATTTGCAAATAGCTTCCCTAATTTTAACACACAATTGTAAACTACACTCTACTCTTATCATCTTTCTTCCCTCTGTCCCAACCCATGAAAGTATTGGGTTGCATTTCACAGCTCAAATTCAGAGGACAAAAATGAAAACCAAATATTTAACTTTGAGCAATTGTTCTCCATTACTAAGATTGTCTGGAAGAATATATGAATGTATAAAGGTGACTTAAACCTTAGTAGGAAAAATGTACTGTGTCCAGACAGTATAATTAGTTTCTTGAAGCCTTGCCTCTAGTTTTATACTCGAACAGTTATTTCTTCAATGAAGTAATATTCTGCATGGCTAGACAAGGTCTTTAAAGCAATTACAAAAGGTTAATTGTGCCAAATTAGCATATCTAATATTATACTAATGCCATAATATGTGGTGCATACCAGTTTTACCCACCATATGTACTTAATTGGCATATCTATTTGTCTAAGTAATTCTGAATACAACTTCCTGAATATCTGCAGCTGAATAGTTTACTATTTTTTGTACTCATAATTGTCTTCCATAACTTGTTTAGTATTAAATATTCAGTTTCTTTCTGTCCTGCAAAAACCTTGACACATCTGTTAGTCTGCAATTTTATTTCTACAATAAAATAGTACAAGTGATCTGGCCATTCAATCTTTACATCTCTTGAATATATATTTTTTAAAAAATGTAGTTCACCTGCCTGTTAATCTCAGAGATGGCACTAGATAGGTTCAGTGAACTAAATTGCACAATGTTGAAGCTGGAACATTTAAGCATCCTTTACCATGTGCTTGCTCTTTTGTATTTTTTTTTAACCCCAATGTGAGGAAAATAGATGACAATTTATTAAATGATATTGGCACCAGGAAAATCCTAAATTTTTCATTCTGTTATATTAAGCTGGTCCACTGATTATATCCCCGTTGCCTAAAGGAGAAAAGTGTGAGCTAGAGGTGAGCAGGAAACAATAGTGAAATACAAGCCAAGGTTTTATTTTGCAAAACTGTATCAGTCATATGGCAATGCTAGCTAACCACAAAGGTTTATGTCTGTGATTTTCACTGTGTTTTGAAAAAGTGAAAAAGTTAAAAAGTAAAATTATTTGTAACACTAAAAATTACTAGGAGGTGAAGAGGAGGAGACAATGACAGTGGATTTTTCCTTTAACTGGGAAAAATTGGCTTTCAGAATTTGTTTTCTTCAGTGGTATAAGGAAGAAGCCTAGATGAAGTAAGTTCAGATCAAGTAGAACACAATAGAGAAGCAGAGAATGAGAAGTTAATTTAAAAAAAAGTAAGAAAAAATAAATACTGTAAGTGAGAAGCTGATGTTTGAAATAAGTCAGAGGAGTTAGAGAAAACAGAGAAGGAAGAAAATGAAAGAAATTTTCCTTAAAGTCAATTTTGATTTAAAGATGATGAAAAGGACAAAAAAAGGTTGCAAAGAATTGTTTTCTAAATATAATGTATGATGTAATGAAATCAGAAAAGTTTTTTCATAACTTTTGAGAAGCACACTTTGTAGTTCATGACACAGGTGCAGGTGTGTTGATGATATTTGACATGAGGTGTCAACATGAATGCACTGCTATCAGCAGCACTTTAAAACACCTCTATTTTTGCTAGGAAAACCAAGGCTAATAAGTCACCATCACCTGTTCATAATGACAGTTGTGATCCAAAGAGTCACTGGACTTTTTTGACAGTTGTGTTACCTGACTCTATTCTGATCCTTATGGATCTAGATCCATAAGGATTCCTAGATCCTCTTTCATCCATGGTTTGTGACTGTTGGAAAGGCACCAACACAAAAACAGTCTCATAGAAATTGCAAGTTTAAACAAGAGATTCTACACATGAGATTTTATAATGGATTTTCACCTGGGACAAGATGTGTTTAAGCCCACTCTGTGTCTTCAGTTATTTAAAATGTAGATTAGATGTTTTAGATGAAAGTACTTGTGAAATTCATGTGATTTTTTAAACTATATTGCTTAGTAGTAGTGGTACAGGACATGAGAATGAGAGACAGTGGGAACAAACTAAGACACACATCCTGGATGTAAGGAAAAAACCTACAAAATGCAGGAATGTCTCTTTCAGCCTTATCTGTCAAAAGTTTTCTTTGCTTAGCTGCTCAGTTAAGCAAATCTTTGTAAACTCTAAAGTTGTGATTATAATGGTATGCTTTTAATCACATTTGCTGAAAATGTTTAATACTCTTTGAAGCTAGTTTATATAAAAATTATAATTTACTTAATTTACTTTATATGTCTAAAAAAGAAACATAAATTCAAAAGTACTCATCCATTTATTATTTTTTTTTCATAAATTATATTAATTTTACCATATATTTATTCTGTTTGATCCATTCTAAAATATGTAAAAATGCTTATATTCTCTCTCTTTTGTCATAAAGGAAGTGACTGTGTCAAGTTGAGGTTAAAAGTACTAAGCATCCTGTGTCTTTTGCATTTCAGTATGTTATAACCAAATTGGTGAGATATGGATGCGACAAGCTGATAATAGCATGAATGACTAACTTCTGAGGCGATGAGTCAATTGACCTTCTGAGTAAAGGTCTGTGATTAGTTTATGTTGAGAGAAAGGGTTAATATGCAGAAAGGCAGGATTGCAGAGGATCCTGGATAGGCTGGAGAAGTGGATAATCAGGAACTTCGCAAGGTCCACCAAAGCTGAATTCCAAGCCTGATACTAGGGATGAATAAAGCCTTGCAGCTGGACATGGTGGGGCTGACCAGTCAGAAGCAGTTCTGCCCTAAAGGATCTGGTGCCTCAGGACAGGAGGCAGCAATGCTCCCAGGAAACAAAGTAGCTCCCTGCTTGCAGAAAGGGATAATTCCCTGTTGTCTCTTACCGCAGAGATATCTGTGTATATAGCTGTAGCTGAGTGCTGTGCCCCCTGCGCATGGCAAAGACCCAGATCCAGTGATGGAGAGTATGATATTTTGTGCAGAATACAAGCTATTACGCCTTTATTGTAATGGAAATTTGCAAGTGAAATTTCACCACAGTCATAGTGTGGGTAGGAAGGAATCTTCAGATCACCAACTGGGTCACCAACCCCAGCCCCTGCTTGAGGCAGGTCCCATGATAGCAGGTGGCTTAGGGCTATGATCAGTGCTTCTCTGAGTATTGCTATTTTTAATCACTTCCACAGTTCCCTTTCCAGGATTCTGCCAGAATTTCTCATGTTCCAGTTTTTATTTACTTGTTTATTTGTTTGATCATAATTGTTGGTACTGTTGTGATGGGATAGATTAGTATCTTTTTCGTCTTCCAGTTTTTTTCTTTTATTTTTGCCAAGAAGATTTCACAGCTGTATACAGTTTGAACAGTGGCAATAATTCTGCTCTTGATATACACAACCACAAGAGCCTCTGAACATAATAACGAGTCAACGGTAAAGGAAAGCATGGAGTATTGCTAGGATATTGCCTCCAGCATCTAATGCCCCAGGAATCCATTTACAATTGGAATCCACTCCATCACTTATGTTTTAGCCTTTATTAGGAACTTGAAGATCAATTCATCAAATGCAGTGTGCTGCTGCATAAAAGAGAAAGGAGGACCCTGCTCGAGGTTCTCTGCTTTATTATAGTGGGACATCAGCACTTAAATGCTTGCAATATAATCTGAGCCTTGTAATTAGTAATCATTCATTACAAGCTGAAAACACCATATAGAGCACTTACAGCCCCAAAGGACTTAATTCTTAACTGCAGCTAGTGTTGTTTTATGATTCCAATAACTAAAATCTATTGACTGTGATTTTATTATGGTTTGTAAAGAAAGAAATTGAGTGTCTCTTCCATTTTCTTTTAGCCTCAGGCGATTGCTGTCTGTTTTATTTTCTGTTACCATTGAAACTGAAAATCTGGAGAGAATTACATTTCTTTGTATTAGATGGCCAATAGAAATTAGCAATGTGCAAGGAATTGATGGTATTAAATTAACATATTTAAACTTGAGAATTAAGCTGTAGTGCCCTGTTCATTAATATACTTAAAACCATATGGTTGCTTTTGTTTTTGGTGTCAGCTTAGTTGGGTGGGCAATGCTTAGGCACAACATAAGATACACTTATTGATTCTTAAAAGGTCTTCATTCACACTTGAGCCAAAGCAGCTGGTAGAGGGCTAAAGAGCATTCAAGTCACCCAAATCTCTAGATATTGCTTTCTGCTGTACCATCTGTATCCTATTAAATATTCTTGACTTTTGCCAAGTTTGGCCAATTTATATGTTAAATCAGTTGCTGAAAACAGGATCCAAGATGCTTGTGCAGGGAAAAAAAACCCTAGTATTAAATTGCAAACTCTTATACATTAATCATTTGTTTTGGAAAAATCCAATTCAGCTTCTGCTGCACAAATAATGGCAGTAGGATGACAGATTTCTTAGTTTCTGAGACAAAAATAGGAGAGCAAGTGTAATTTCAATATATTTTATTCCTGGAGAAGGGTATCATCTTCAGACCTGAGAGAAGATGTCATCCAATTTCTTACTGGAATAGCCAAAATCCACCAGTTCTGTGAAGCAACTGTGGAATTGCTTGCATATGCTTTTTCATCCAATATAGGCTGTAATCAAATGAGTCTTAAACTGCTTAACTACTGATATTTCAACGCCTCATAACCAACTAAGTATTGAAGTAATCCTCAGTGTCATACATCTAGTGTTACTATTTGATGGTGATAATCTTTATGCATGCCAGGATTTTAGTCTTCAATTAGTTTAATTTATTGAATTAGGAGGTCAAAAGTCTCATCCCCAGAGAAGATATTTTTCCCATAAATTGAACACCTGGTGCATTTTTTCACCATCTACTGATTTCATGTCAACCAGCTCACTGTAAAACTTGGAGTCTGACCATCTAACAAAAAACTGCTAAAAGGGGGTGGTTTTTTGTTTGGTTTTTTTGGGTTTTTTGGGTTTGTTTGGTTTTTTCTTTTTTTTTTTTTTTTTTTTTTTTTTAAGAGGGATGTTGCTTTTGTCTCTTGTCTCTATAAAGATCTTCTGATTCCTGCCAAAAAGAGAAAAAAAATTTTAAAATTCACTGTATCTGATTTAGTATCCCTTTGCTCTTCCTCTATCCAATTTTACTTTTTATGCATTTTAAGTTCTGCCATCTCAGACATTTGCACTCTCACTGCAGGATTTGTATATGTATTGCCAGCAGTGAGATCTTGCCAAATTTCTGATAAAATAGTTTCAGAGTCCCATTCTTCTCCCTCAGCACAGTAATACCATAAAGCATGATTTTTTTGCCATTTCTCATTCTTATCTTGAATGAAATGTGCATTTATTTCAATGAGAATGTCTCCCTACTCAGATTTGATTGATATAAGAATGTAGCCTAACTTCAATGGTAAATCAGTTACTCAAAAAAGTAACTGTGAGTTAAATAACAATGTAGATTTCTCATACATGCAAGAGTGTCAAAAATAATTATGCATTAAATTGGGTATGCTGCACAATCTTGTCTCCATGGTTCTCTATTTTACCTGTGAAGCTATGAGAAACAGAACACTTGGGCCTAGAAATTGCATCTACCATTAATTCAATTTTAAATAAAATTTCAAATTGACTCACTTAAATGTTTTTTTTTTTTGTTCACAACTACTTCTCTTCTCCTTCCCAACTCCAGGAATACAAAAGCTTTCTAAAGGGGAATAGATTGCCATGTTTATTGAAAAAGAAATAAAATAAATTATTATTTTTTCATAATGAAGTTTCACAAACTCTTCCAAAATCTACATATCAATCAAGCCTGTACATGTGCGGAGTAAACCTGAAATAGTGACTTTATTTATTTGTTTGTATTTTTAACTTCTTATTTTGTTCATATGTGTGTGTGTGTGTGGTTAGTGAAAATGCTGTTGAGCTGGCTTTTTTAAGATTTGTCTTGTAAAATATGCAATAATTATATTAAAGTGCTAAGGCCCTTTTTCTAGTACCCCAGTTTTAATGATACACAGACATGTTTTTCTTATTGGATTCTGCTCTGTTAATAACATGTTCCTTGTATAGAACTTATCCAGATGAAAATATAAATCTTGAAACATATTTGCAAGTAGCGACTTCAGAAAATAATGATTAAGTTGTTGATTCGTAAATAAAATTTATTTTGATCTATGTAAAACTTTTCAGTAACCAAGAGGAACAGATAAACCTTCCTCTTTAAAACTAGCTTCAAGTTAGGAGGAAAAAAAAGTCAGTAAGGGTTGAATTACTTATTTGGCTTTCTAAATGAAAAATCAGATATTTCACAGTTCCAGTGCTCTATGTCAAGTGTTATATCAGAATTCATTAGAATGATGCCACTATTTCATTATAAGGTTTCAACTTCCTAAATTAAATTGGAGTTCTCAGCTCCTTTCATTAGGTGATGAGAGCTAATTTTCTCAAATTCTTCATAACCTATTTGGTATTTATAGAAGAATTAAAAGACATATGGCTTCAGAGAAGCCATCTCTGAAATGAAGTCATGGGAGGATTTTTGGTGTCATGTACTGCTTCTGCATGAATTTTCATTATTGATATTATTTCATCTTTTAGAAATCATAACATTTTCTCACAAAAGAGGAATAGATTTAAATCACAACAGAGGAATAATTTAAAATATCTTCATTATCTCTGAGGGACATGGATGGGCTATAGCATGAAGAAACTATTAATATCTTATCATTAGCTTGGCATTCTGTGATCTAACAGTGGGTGCCCGTAACTAATATTTACTGTAGTTTTACTTGATTAGCTTTAGGTGTTATTTAAAATTATCTCTGATACTTACCTTTAAACAAACAAGGTTAAGTGTTCATGTGTTAGTTACCTTAACATGTCTGTCACAAATATTTATTTTTATGATATCCAGAGCCCAGCGTGAAAAGGCAATGAAATATCACTTAAGAAGTTGACCCTTGCTGAAATGAATCACCTCTGCAAATCAGTGTGCTTCCCAAACCCTTATTTTGTACTTTTGTATTTTGATCAGGTATGCAATCAAGAAATTATGAGTAAGGCATTTTTGTCTTGCCATATGATAGGAATTACATATATTTAATTCTATATCTCTTTCCTACTCCTCTAACAAGTTTAATTGCATCATCTTTCTTTTGTACTTCCAGAACTCTAAACTAGAAGAATTTGTACAGCAAGGATCTCAGCAAGAGTATGTGGCCTAAAAATGTATTTTTAGAACACCTGTCTTAATTTACGTAGCAGTAGACTGTGGAATCTCAGGCTTTCAATGGGGAGAAGAGGAAGAATGCCTTCTCATATATAGTTATCTTAGCTGTTACATTTAACTGAAAGTTTCTATATTAAAGAATAATAATGTACTCCTAATTTACATTTTTCACAATAAAATTTTGAAACATTCACATCATTGTAAAGGGTTATTAGAAGGTTTTCACTATTATGAAAAATATTTCTTTTATTCTTTTATTATTTTCTCTGCTGTCCTAATTGCACTGAATGACTGCCCGGGGCTGTGCAAATTTAGTAAGTGAAGATTGTCTTTTCTTGGTTGGTGTTATGTTTTGAATTGAACAGTTGCCATTATCCCCTGCCTATGTGCTCTCAAGGTCTCTCAGTTTCAGGCTCAAGTAAAATTGCACACGTATCCAAAGCAGTCGTACACACCAGCTCCGGTCCTGGGAGCAGCCCAGAAGAAGGAACACAGCCTGTACAGCCTAATTCATCTACATGTTGTCACAGCTAGACCTCCTGTGGAAGCTGTGCCGTCTTACCTGTCTTACTGTCACACAGCACTCCACTTCGTGCAGAACTAACGCCTCCCAAAGTGCTCTGGTAAGTGCTCTAATTTATAGCTTAAATAAGAAAGTTAAAAACCTCTAAACTATCAGCCACTATTAAATATGAGGTCTGTATCTTTCCAACTCTTTCTAGTTGCATCCATTCTCATTTCACCTTTGGATATAACATCATATGTATTTGTCACTTAATTTCCATTATGTCACTTCCTTATGTTTTTGCCAGCCCTTTTTGATTTGATCAGATGGCCATGAGGGAAAAGGATAAATTGACACGCATTCAAACTTCTCCATTTACTCTTCAAGCATGGTAGACACAGAGGGAGAGGAGAAGAATAGCATCTCTAAAATTATATCCTGCTTTTCCTGTTTATTCCCTTCACTGAATTCTTATCAAATTCACTCATTTGTAAGCTAAATACAGGTTTTCTTAACTGTCAGAGATACATGCTTGTCCTTTCTCTAACAAATAAACACAGTTCCACTTGTCTCTTGCCTCATCACCCACAAAAAAGATTCTGGAACGAAACAGGCAGATTATGATAGTGCACAGAAAAGAATAACACATTGTATTGTCCTTGCAGTGCTTACCTCACTAATTTTTTTTTGCAAATAAATGAATTTAGTCATCTCCTAACATTCCTAAGCATATGCCTACCAAGCCATTCAGCAGGACAGACAGGGAGCAAATAAAATGTAAAAAACCAATTAGTCAAGATAAAGTCAGTTTAATAAAGCAAAATTAAAGGCTGCACGCAGAAGCTAAGAAAAACAAAATGTTTATTCTCTACTTCACTTCAGTTGGTGTTGTCCTTCTCCTTCCTGAGAAGTAGGACTTGAGTACCCATATTGGTTGCTCTGGAAATCAAATATCAGTAGCAGACGCAACCCTCAATTCCTTTCCCCAAAGCCCCCACTCCTCTCTCTTGGTTTTTTATGGCTGAGTACACATAATATGGCATGAAATATCCTTTTGGCCAATTTGGTCAGCTCTCTTTGTTGTGTCCCCTTCTGGGATCTTGCCAAATCCCTGCCTACTGATGCGCTGCTGGAAAGACAGAGCTGATGATGTGCCAGTGCTGCTCAGCAGTAGCCAAAACACTGGTGTATCTCCTACATTCTTTCAGCTGCCAATACAAAGCTGGAGAGGGCTGCTATGGGAAAATGAACTCCAGCTCAGCCAGATACACTTTTCTCACACTACTTTCTTTTGGTTGTAACTGAGAGAAAATTTAACAAACGTGTTTTAACACATTAAATTTTTTCCCAGAAAACACTGATCCACATGTGAATATTCCAGTCTTATCACACCCTTCCTCAGTATTATGATCAACTGCCAATGTGAAGACTGAGATTTGAAAATGGTTATAATAGTTTCTCATTCAGCTGGATATTATCCTTAATTACTTCAATTCTCAGAGTTTCACAGAAAATGTTTTTGAGTGTGCACAAAACTTGAAAACAAAGCAACATCTTGATCTGATGGGGAAAAAAATAAAAAGAAATCCAACTTTTTTGGGAGCTATTTTTCAAACATTTAGTTAGATTCTTAAGTGTATTTGTGAATCCCAAGTGAGGGAAAAAAGTTTATAAGTTTAAATAATAAAATAAACCTTAAGGAAGAAAATCATTTCCATAAAACAGAAGAAGGGGAATCCATTACTAAAGAGGTTAGTAACATATATATGATAAAACAGCTAAAGAGAATGAAGCAAACTGAAAGCCATGAGCATCAATGTTGAGCAAGAGGATAGCTCAGAGGAGATAAAGGACTCATTAATTCCTTTCACATGGAAATGACTGTGTAGAAGTCCCAACAAGCCAGTTCATTTAACCTCAAAAATAGGGTCACATGCCCTCAGACTTTATATTTATTAGTGCAATCCAAAGGTATCAAATATATATTTGGCAAATAAACCCTAAATTAGTCAAGTATGGAACCCTAAAGATGCCACAATGTAAGTTCTTTTACCAAATCATTTTTGTTTTTATGAGAAAATTTTACAGAAATTTTGAAGATTTTCTTGCTTTATTAGCAGGGGAATTACCTTCAGACTGAGATGAAATAATTGGAGGTTCTATTTACTTGATTTTTAAAAAGCAATTAAAGCTTCTTAGCTTTAGTCATATCCAAGGCTACAACAGGCACATCCTTTGACAACATAAGAACATCTGCATGATATTTCAATAGAAATCAAATATGTTTTTGGTAGAAAAAGTAGGAGAAGCCTTCTTTTCCTGGCATCCATTAGGCACAGTGGTGTATGAGATTGCCCATGAAGTTTTATCAGTATGATTTTGAACATAAAAAAATGGTAAGGAAAAAGAAGATAAGGTTACAGAGCATGAATGGGATGCAGGAAGGACAGTATGTTGAACAGTAACTGTAAAGTGTAAATAAGCACAGCATCAGGAAGAAAGTGATGACTGAGAGGGAACAAAGTAGGGAAAGGTTGTTGAATGAAAATTCTGTTTAATTGGTCTACATGGAATATATATCGATAATCCATGGTACCTTGCCTATCACTACTGTTCTTTTTTGTAGTTGTTTTGGATGGGATATGACTGATTTTCTTAATAGTAGCTCACATGGTTTTGTGTTTTGGATTTCCGGTGCAAACAGAGTTGATAACATAGTCATGCTTTAGTTACTGCTGAACAACAGCATGTTTTTCATGCTTCCCTGCAAGGAGGAGGCTGGTGGTGCACAAGATATCGGGTGGGGACACACCTGGGACTACTGGCCAGACTGACCCAATGGCTATTGTTCCATGCCATACGGCATCAAGCTCAGTAAATAAAGCTTGGGAAGAAGAAGAGAGAGGGCCACATTTGGAGTGATGGCATTTATCTTCCCAAGTCACTATGAGCACATGCTGGAGCTCTGCGTTCCTGATTCCTGAACACCTGCCTGCCCATCAGAAGTGATGAAAGCATTCCTTTTCAGCTTTTAGAAAGAATTTGCTCTGCAGCTTTTAACCTATTTTACCTCAACCCATCAGTTTTCTCACTTTTACTCTTTCAGCTCTCTAGCCCAACTGCTAAGGTGTAGTAAGTGAGCATTTGCACAGTGCTTAGCTGTCAATGTAGCTTAAACCACAGCAGTCTATTTTAGGAACCCAACAGGGCTCAAGGGTTAAAGATAAGAGATTTGATTGGAGTGTGGTAGCCCAAATTTATAACTATTAATAAATAAAAGGGTCTTGTACATGCCATGGGGCTTGCTTGCTTGACATTATATTTGCTTTTGCTGATTGCTACAGTCCTTGTTATCTGCCCTACTGTGACTGGGATGATTTCAATAAATTGTTGCCTGGTTTGGGAGCTGACAAGGACCTAACTGCTTTTTGTATGCTGCTGTAGGGGGCAGGCTGGAACTCCAGTGTGAAGTAGGATGTGTGTCCACCTGGAAAGAGGTACACTTCAAAGCATCTGTGGCCATGCTTATGTGCACATCACAGCAAGTACACCCTGAAAGGATTGTGGAGTAAGCAAAAATCCATATTGGAACAGGTACAACTCAAAATGTCAGCACTAGAACATCCTGAAGCTCCAGTGGCCTCGGAAAAGTCTTTGTCATAGTAAGTATGCCCCTAAAAATATTGCTGCCTTGGACATGTGACAAGTATAAGAAATACTTTAAAGCATTATGCAAAGGCTGAAAAGGACCAAGTAACATTTTCCCAGTGGACATTTGTGGAGAAGTTCCTGTGCTTGTACTAACTTTTTGACTACTAAAAGTCAGGGACAGCTACAGAATTCTTCCAGAAACATATGAATTCTTTTTTTGTAAAAATTTAGATACAGAATATTCATGTTACCATGGAAGAACAGGCAATTATTTTAACAATCAAATGTGCCTACAGACATATTTGATACAACATTCAATATGGTATGTGATCTTTTTCCACATGACATTTCCTGAAGATGATTTTGAAGCATATATAATGGTTTAATCTTTATAATTTATTTAAAAGCAACTTTTCTAATTTTGCTTTAAATAGTATTGGATGCATTTGATGACTTAATACAGCACACTGTGGCTAGATAGAGAAGCAAATTTTTCATCACTAAGAAGTACCCAAGAATTAAATTTTTCATGGTGTTTTTATTAATTGATCTGAAGACTTTTGCACTTTATGTGACATTAGTTCTGTAGTTTCTTTCTTTTCTTTTTGCAACGTTTATTAGATTAGCCAAGGGTGTTTCAGGTAGAAAAATTCATCCATAGGTTTTTCAATGAACAACTACATTTTACTCTACAACTAGCTATCCTTTTTTTGCCTCAGTATCTTATTTAACATTTTACAAGTTAGAACATTTTACATGATTGATTCACCTGACATGTATAAGGAAAAAGAGATAGAAGATTTTTATAGAAAAGCTATTGTCCTCTCAGAGAAAACCCATCCATTATTATTTTAAGCTTAAAGTACTTTTTGTTCCCGCCAGGAAAGCAAATTCTTAGGTGATGTAATTCAGCAAAATTCCACTGACTTAAGGGAAGCTCTGCCAATTTTACATCAATTCTGGATCTACTTTCTTCATTCCTATTGAGTGTATTTAATGGGGATTATTTTCAGTTTCCATTGTGAATGCTGAAATTGTACTTATTATCCTTTTTAGTTGAATGTTATTCAGCAGTTTTGTTGTATTTTCTCTATTTTTTTTCACTCCTGCTGCTCAAGAAAATGTGGTGCAAGGAAAATAATTTGTAACCAGATATGAAAACATTTCTCTTAAGAAAGTAGATCTCCGTGATCAGGAACAGAATTCAAAAGGATCATTTGAATTACAGCACATTGGTCAGGTTTTTTAAAGGGTCTGAATGGTGCCTCTCAGAAATGGACTATCTAACTGTAATACAGATGAAGGACTTCAGAAACCATGGCAGGTGTCAAGAGTTTTAAAACAAATTCATACATCTCACTCCAAACCACAGACAAATAAGGAGGATAGTATAGCTATTCATAAAGAAGCAGATGCAATCATTTAATGGCTACAAAATTGCCTATAAAATTTTAGGGGAAAAAGGAAAACACAAAAATGAGTATTATCAGTCCAGAATTCCAAACTATTAAGAATAATTTATTGGAAACTCATACAATATCAAATAATCACAAAGTCCGAAACAAAAGGCATTTATGTTGACTGCACACACAGAACACTGTATTGTCCGCAGCAGAGGTACCTTCTTCTTAAATAACAGAGTCTCTAGTATACAAATGAAAAACAGGAAGGAAATCTTTGAAACCAATATATGTGCCAGCACATAGCAGAGTGTTTTGTGATAGACTATATATTATGACTTAATATTTTGGACTACTCCCAACAAAACAAGATGAATAATGAAATAATAAGGTCCCAATTAGACATGATTATTTTATGTGATTCAAAATGAATAGTGATTTATGAGTTTCCTTCTGCTACTTAATAACATGAGGTGAGTGGGTTTGTAGGCACTTCGCCTTTGGCATGATTGTAATGAAAGCAAATACGCTTCCGTTCCCTCCATAATCATCCACATATTGGCAGAGCATTAAATTATTATTTCTGTATCAAATGAAGAGACTTTTCCTCATTAATGTTTCTGAAGGGAAGAGCTGGTTCATTGAATGTTCACTAAACTCAATGAATACTGAAGTTTCCAAAACCTGACTGATTTAAAGGTGTAATTCTCCTTAAACTTTCAGCGGCAGTTGGCCATTCAACTGCTTTTTCTGGATCCAGATCTCAAAATTTATCTGCCTATCAGATTATTCTGGGTTAGGCTGGGTTAGGCTTTAAATGGCTGCCAGGAGACAGGCTTTATTCTGGATAAGGCTTCGGAAACAGAACAATACTTCTACCAAAACTTCATATTTCTCTGCAATGATTGCATCTAGGAACAACTGCAGAGCTGCTCAAGCCAACCATTCGTTTGTACAAAGGCAGGGTTAATTTCCCTGCCTCAGGAGCTACTAATGTTTGGGTGGGGGTTTTTTTTGTTTGTTTTTTTGGTGATTTTTTTGGTTTTTTTTGGTTTGGGTTTTTTTTTTTTTGGTGGTGGTGGTAGTGGTGTTTTTTTTAAACAGGCAGTTATGAAAATGAGAATGAAAGGTAGAAAGGAAGGAAATGGTATAATATTTGAAAAATAAACAAAAACTTTTTTTTTCAGTGCAATGTCTAAAATAAAGGTACACTTAATGTGAGGTAATAATAGAAGAGTGTCATTCACTCCTGTGAAGGTCATTATTTGTTCTTGCAAGGTTCATAATTTCTCCAATTCTTCAAGCTTATTTGTGGAAACTGAAAATTTGGTTAATAATACTCAAAAGGTCTCTTTATCACCACATCTGTGAGACAGTGGTGTATTTGGGGTTAAAGAGAGGCAAACGAATTGCAAGAGCATAAGGCAATAAAGAAACTGCAAATAAATATAGAAAAGCAAGAAATTAGAACCTTCCTGTTGGTTTTCTTGAAAGCTTTTTACCACTGACAATCCTTGTTTACTTGGACTAGTTTATAGTGCTTGTCAGTAGGACATATGATCTTTTCTTTTCTGGCATGACTCTTTTGGGTGCCGATAAAAACTGGGTTTTTTCCAGACAAATTGCTTCAAAGGAGAGTGAGGAAAAGTTACAGTTAAATAATGTCTTCAGAAGTATGAGGTTTGTCTAATGAGAAAACTCTGCCAGGAAACACATGTGAAAGGCTCTATTAGGCACCTGTTTTTTAGCAAGTCTGACACACAAAATGCCATTACATTAGCGCTGTGCTAACTATTTGTTTTAAGGTCACTGAAACTGTATGTTTACTCAGGTAGCAATACAGCTACTGAACTACAAAATAAAAGTAAAGGATTATTTTAATTTATAATTAAAATATTAGGAAAAAACCCCAAAAATTAAATAATCCTGATTGAATTTCTGTATCTCTACTGTGTTTTTCTTAAAACATGTCTTTTCCTTCTAAATTATTACCATACTTATGAATTATCTTTTCTATTTATAGAATTCTACAGCATTGTGTATTGAATACTCCATGAATATCTCATGACTAAGAATACTGTATTTAAAAGAAAGAAGGGAATCTAACCTTTTCAGTTGCATTTGCATAGAACCGACTGCTTACATTTGCAAAGACTGTATATGGGCTTGCAATCTTTGTATCAGAATTGTTTACTTTTTTCCTTACAGCCTCATCTTCACCCCTTCTGTCCTTTCTGAGTAATAATGTCAATATTTTATACTGTGCATAATTTGTAAGCAGATTATTGGTTATTTAGCTCATGTGTAGTTGATTTTAGTTTAAAAGTGACTGTTTGTAAATTACCTTGATTGCATTGATATTTCACAATTAAAGTCTATGAATTATGCATTCAGATACCATTTGGTTTGATAGGCCTTTCTTCCTTACCCGGTTGTACATACAAGATTATTTCAGCAGTCAGTTCAAATGCTGATAGTTCTGGGTTGTGAGGCTGTGGTTGATAGACATTCTTCTTGCATAGTTTCTCATGCTGCCTATCCAATGATTGGTAATCCTTCCTGGGCCATTTTCCCAGCATATGGTCCACAGCAGCCTCTCTGTGCCCACATGGCACAGATGTTCAGACCTTTTCTGATGGAATCCTGCCAGATTTTATAGAGCTATGCAGTGAAATTAGTTAGTAATTTCAATGTTGGAATTCTTTATCACTTTGTTTTTTTGTATGTATAAGCATACAAAGAGGTATAAAGCAAAAACAGCAACAGCGACAACCAAAACAAAACCAACAACAACACCACCAAAAACCAACAAAACCAAAACAACAACAGGAAAAAAAAAAAAAACAAAAAAACCTGAACAAAAACAAAACCAAGAAAAACTCCACAAAAACAAACAAACAGAAAAACCCAACAAAAACTCCAAACTGAATGCTTTAAAAATCTTTGTGAGATTCCTTTAGTTTATTTAATCCTGTTTCTGGCACATGTATCAGTATACTCCACCTACAGGTGCTTCATAAAATTCAGATATGGACAAAACCTCAGAAAGTTCCATGTCATAGAAGCTAATAAGACATTTATCTTTGATTTACATCCACAAGACAGAAACACCTTCAGAGGTGAACTGTTTAACAATACAAGTTCCAGAAACTCTACATGTAGAATACGTTGTGCTCATATAAGCATAGAGCATATAAATGCATTACTGGGCTTTTCAGTTATTTTCCACAGTCTCATTCTGGATATTTTATTCTTACTTTGTCCCATTGAAGTGCACCAAAGTAACTGGTAGCAGGTTACTGGTTCCTACTTAGGGGTTAGAGAGTGCATCATTTTTAGCATAGTTGCCTGCTGTTCTTCTAGCATCTTGTCACCCTTTGATGTTTTTATGTTTGGTTTTCTATTTGCTCTGTCTCTCTGTTAACTGTCTTAACACACTTCTCAGAACATCAGTGTATGTTTTCTGTATATTATTCAAAGGATTCTGTCTTTCAATTATATCTACATTTTAGCAGTAATAGTTTTATGTCGTAGAATTAGCTGCTGATTTTTCTATTAGATCAGGATTTCGGGTGTTTCTGGCAGTCTGCTGCTTTTAGAATCAACAACAA